TGATTGTAGCCATTTCTGTATTACCGTTAGCAAAACTTTACTCGCATAGGATATCAAAGAGATTGTCTGATGATTTCTGCATTCCATTGGGTCACCTCTCTTTGAATGGTCACAAATACAGAAGCAGTAAGCTGATGGATTTGAACTGCTAACTTTGCGGTTAACAGTCCAGTGCTTATTCTATAGTGCCACACCAGGGCTCCTTTAGGTCCAGTGTTGTCCTTTTGGCCTCCAGAGCTGTCGGAAAACACATACGTGTTCAATCAGGGCCACTACGTTTGTGGTACAGGAGCCCCAGCCTCGTTTCCACCGCTGTAAAATGGGGCAATCAGAGTTTCCCACTCATCGGCTCTCAGTAAATATCAATGAAGTCACATAGAGGGTATTAGCTGATTTTATTCTGGGAGCTTTTCTGAGTGTGGAACGCTCGCAGGACACAAGCCAGAGTTGGATAGGCAAAACTGGAGGTAGGAGATTTGGAGGGGGAGATGAGACACGAAAGTGGTTTGGATGATAAAAAAGGCGGCACGCTACAGGTTAGATGGAATACAAGCATCATTATTATTCTCACCATCTCCTTTTGGTCTTCCCGCCCTTCTCCCACCCCCTCGCGAAGCACCCAGAGCTGGACTCAGAGTTGAGATGCGCTTGGAGTGTTCACCAGGACGAGGTGTCTCATACATAGCCGCTGGCTGGTCACACTTTTTTGGTGATGCTCTTGGGGGCAGCGAGCTCGGAGAGGCGGGGTGAGGCCTGTGCTGCCAGGGAGGCAGGGGAAATGTGGTAGGGGTCGTAATCCTCGTTGAGGTCCTTGCGCTCCTTTGGCTTGGCCAGAGAGAGGGTCCGTGGACTGGCCACTGCTCTCTTGGTAACATCCAGCACCTCCCAGCGAGGGTCTCGGTCTGGGATGCAGTTGTCCCACTGGGCTTTGGGCACTAGAGAAGGCAGGAGAGAGGGGCAGCGGTCAGGAGCGAGAGCCACTGGACAGACGGACAAATGGCTGCCTCGTCCACCTGAGCTCAACTGTCTAGGTCCAAAGCCTCCGGTTTGATGGACAAGCGCTGTATGGTCAGCCACAAAAAGGAATACCACTGAAACAACCTGGCCTTGTACAGGTACATGGATGTGTACCCACATGGCTGTTCACCCAGAGGCAAGCTCGCCAGATGGGTGGGACCCATGGTGATTTTCATCTTCTTCTGTTTTGTTTCCCAAATTCTTTACAATTCATATGTATCAGTGCTTTTGTCACTGAGGAAATGGGTACAAGAGACTTCAGAAAAAGAAAGTTCATGGGAAAATGACACTATCTTTTAATTCCATTTTTCCAAGAACTTTTTCAAGCCCTCTCATACACCATGTGTTTTAAAGGACAAGGAGAGAATCTCTGCAACAACCACTTCAAACCCACTACATTTGCACCCCAAAATTATCTCCTGCACCCACCCCACCCAGAAAACACCCTCAATTTCTGGACCATTGTTGTTGTTAGGTGCCATCGAGTCGGTACTGACTCATAGCGACCTTATGCACAGCAGAACGAAACCCTGCCTGGTCCTGGGCCAACCTCACTACTGTTGCCACGCTTGAGCCCATCGATGTTGCCACTTGGCTAATCCATCTCGTTGGGGGTCTTCCTCTTTTTCTCTGACCCTCCACCTTACCAAACATGGTCTTCTCTAACTTCTACTTCCCTGGCACTGGGGTTGGGGTTGGGGGTGAGGGTGGGCAGTGATCCTCTGCTCGAGAGGCCTTCAAGGGCCATAGTATAAATTGTTCTCAATTTATAAATTGCTCTCAATTTATTGGTCTGTAATTCGGGAAATTAATGAGGGAAGAGGAAAGCCAAAATCCACCAGGACCAGACTTCCAGTCTTCTGCCCCCTACCCAGTCCAAGCACATCAGCTAGAGGAAAGACACAGAATGCCAAATGAGCCCCCCACCTCCACCCCTGATCAACTCACTGGCCAAGTGAAGGAGGCGGTTGTAGTCAGACACGTGTGGCTTGGGCTTCGGCACAGGGTCCCATTCCTCCAGCCTGGGGGCCGGGGATCGGGGCTTGGCCAGGCAGAGGATTCGTGGGCTGGGAATGGCCAGCTGGGCTGCCCTGGACACCTGAGATATCTGGGAGCAGAATGAGTAGGTGGGAAGTAAAACCGCCCTTGATTCCCCAGAAACCCCTAGAGCTAAAAGGCCCCTCAGCAAAGCCGAGGGACAACTAACCTGGTGACCCCCTGAGTGTCACCACTGTGACTTTTCATGGTGAGCTGAGTGCAGGTTTACAGAGCAGGTGGTCAGTTATATCTTGTACCTCATTCATTGCAATGACTGCAACCTCCTCCAAGTACCAGCAGTTGATAGCATTTACCTCTGTTCACTTTAACTATTGTATTCCTCCCTGTTTCTCCAGCTGCCTTCATCTTTCCTCTGACAACCTCCCTCTTGCATATTGCCTTCCCTGTCACCCACGTTAACGTGTGTCTACTCTCTAGCTTGTGAATCATTTCCCTTCCTTCTGCACTACTCCCCCCACCCCCACAACATTCAGTGAACGTTTATCAAGAAAACCTTTTCTGAACTTTTTACAATATTGTTGCTATTTCTAAGTGCCGTAGAGTCAGTTCTGACTCATAGTGACCCTGTATAGGGTTTCTGAGGAGCGGCTGGTGGATTTGAACTGCCAACCTTGCAGTTCAAGCTGATCTTGCGGTCCAGTGCATTACCCTGCAGTGCCACACTTTTTTTTTTTTTTTTTACAATATTGGTCTCATGCACTATTTGTCCTTTTGTGACTGACTAGTTTCACTCAGCATAATATCTTCCAGGTTCATCCATATTGTGAGGGGTTTCACAGATTCATCGTTATTGGTCAACATTGCATAGTATCCCATTGCATGTGCATATCAAAGCTTGTTTAACCATTCTTTTGTTCATGGGTACCTAGGCTGTCTTCATCTTTTTCTTTTTCTTGTGACTGGAGTGAAGGTTTACAGAGCAGATCATCAGTTTGACATTCATCAAATCGTTTCATTACAATGATTGCAATCCCCTCCATGTACCAACAGGTAACAGTATTTACCTCGATTCACCTGAACTCTTGTGTTCCTCCCTGTGTGTCCAGCTACCTTCGTCTTTCCTCTGACAACCTCCCTCCTTTTGTATATTGCCTGCCCTGTCACCCACGTTAACACATGTCTACCCTCTAGCTGGTGAATACTTCTCCCTTCGCCATTCCCCCTGTAACCTTCATACACTGTTTTTTATTCTTAACTTTTTACAACGTTGATCTCCTATAATAGTTGTCATTTTGTGATTCACTAATGTCACACAGCATAATGTCCTCCAGGTTTATCCATGTTGAGAGGTGTTGCATAGATTCATTCATATTCTTCAATACTGCGTAGTATTCCATTGTGTGTACGTACCAACCTTTATTTGACCCATTCTTCTGTTGTTGGGCATTTAAGCTGTCCCCATCTTTTTGATATGTATCTTAGAGACAGCATATTGAGGGATCCTGTGTTCTCATCCATTCTGCTCTGTCTCTTGCCTGGTGCGTTCATCCATTTACAGTCAGTTGGCAGATATGAGTTTATTGCTGTCATTTTGTTGTGTGTGTGTTTTGTGGTGCTGTTGGTTTCTTTGTTCCACGTAATTTTCCACTCTGAGTTCATTTAGTTTGTAGGGTTTCTTTACTCTTTTATTTCTGTTGGGTCAATGCTTATAAAATCTTTCTGATTTTCCTCTTTTAAAAAAATTTTTTTGATGTGCAGGTGTATTAATTTTCTTTGAGGTTACCCTGTAATTTACAAATTTTTCTCCCAGTTTGAAACAGTCTGTTTTGTCTTGAAATCTACTTACCTTCTTTTCCATTTGGAAGTTCTTTATCTACACTTTTTACTTTGTAATTGGCTTCATTTATATTAATTGGCTTCATTTAATTCTGTTTTGGAAGAAGTGCAGCCAGAGTGCTCCGTGGAGGCCAGGATGGCTAAGCTTCGTCTCTCATACTTTGGACATATTGTCCGGAGGAAACAGTCACTAGAGAAGGATGTCATGCTGGGTAGGGTGGAGGGTCAGAGAAAAAGAGGAAGACCCCTAACGAGATGGATCAGCCAGGTGGCATCACTGATGGACTCAGGTGTGGCAGCGGTAGTGAGGTTGGCCCAGGATCGAACATTGTTTCGTTCTGCTGTGCATGGGGTTACTATGAGTCAGTTCCGACTCGATGGCACCTGACAACAACAAAAACAATTGGCTTCATTATCAACTGATACCTCTGCTTCCCTATTTTCAGTTTTGTAGGTTTGTTTTACTTTAAATATATCTATCTATACCTGGATTCATGCAAGTAAAATTTTGGTAAAGAAAATTCAGAAATGTTGCCATAGTATATTGACAGAGACTTGACAGAAATTCAAGTCTGATTTAGACCAAGATTTGGAATGAGCAATATCAATGCTGATGTCAGATAGTTCTTGGCTGAAAGTAGAAAATACCAGAAAGATGCTTGTTGTTGTTAGGTGCCATCGAGTCAGTACCAACTCATAGCAACCCTATGCACAGCAGAACGAAACACTGCCCAATCCTGGGCCAACTTCACTATTATTGCCACGGTTGAGTCCATCGATACTGCCACTTGGCCAATCCATCTCGTTGGGGGGTCTTCCTCTTTTTCTCTGACCCTCCACCTTACCAAACATGATATGCTTCTCCAACGACAGGTCCCTCCTGACAACATGTCCGAAGTATGAGTTTTATTGACCATGCAAAGGCATTCGATGGTGTGGAGCATAACAAATTGTGTATAGCATTGCAAAGAATGGGAATTCCAGAAAACTTAATCGTGCTCCTGAGGAACACGTACATAGACCAAGAGGTAGTCGTTTGAATAGAACATGAGAACAGGGAATGGTTTAAAATCAGGAAAGATGTGTGCCAGGGTTGTATTAGTTCACCATACTTATCCAACCTGGATGCTGAGCAAATACTCTGAGAAGCTGGATTATATGAAGAAAAACGTGGCATCAGTATTGGAGGAAGATTCATTAACAGCGTGTGATATGCAGATGATACAACCTTGCTTGCTGAAAACAAAGAGGACTTGAAGCACTTTCTGATGAAGATCAATGACCACATCCTTCAGTATGGATAACAACTCAATATAAAGAAAACCAAAATGCTCACAAATGGACCAATAAGCAAACATCATGAAAAAAACAGAGAGAACTTGGAAGTAATAAAGAATTTCATTTTACTTAGATCCACAATCAACATTCATGGAAGCAACAGTCAAGAACTCAAACAAGGAATTGGATTAGGCAAATCTGCTGCACAAGACCTCTTTACAGTGTTTAACAGCAGAGATGTCAGTTTGAGGAGTAAAGTGTGCTTGACCCAAGCCATGGTATTATCAATAGTCTCATATACACGGGAAAGTTGGACAGTGAATAAGGAAGACCGTAAAAGAATTGATGCATTTGAGTTAAGGTGTTGGAGAAGAATATTTAAGGTACTGCCAGAAGAACAAACAAATCTGTGTTGGAACAAACAACCAGAATGTTCCTTAGAAGCCAACATGGCGGAAGCCAACATGGCTAGACTTCAGTCATATTATTGCTCCTTAGAAGCCAACATGGCTAGACTTCAGTCATATTATTGGGGGGGGGCGATCCCTGGAGGACATCAGGCTTGGTAAAGTGGAGGGACAGCCAAAAAGAGGGAGACCCCCAACGAGATGGATTGGCCAAGTGGCAAACGCAATGGCTCAAGCGTAGCAGCAACTGTGAGGATGGTCCAGGACTGGGTGGTCGTTTGTTATATTATTGTACACAGACTCTCCATGGGTTGGAATCAACTTAACAGCACCTAGAAATAACATTCCTGATGTGGCACTGTGGGTTAATGCACCAGACTGCAAAGCCATTTGAACTGCAATGTTGGTGGTTCAAGCTCACCAGCTGCTCCTTGGAAACCATATACAGGGTTGCTATGGGTTGGAACTAACTCGATGGCACTTCACAACAACAACAACAACATTATTTAAAAATAGACATACGTGTGTGATGGAAATGAGCCTGCCTACCAGCCTATTCTTGATTTGATTTACTAAAAGGGGATTGAGAATTTGCCCAGAACATTTGCATTTGAAAATACA